GTGTGTGTGTGTGTGTGTTCTAAATAGCAATTAACAGCACATTTCTCACTTTTTCTTTTTTCATCTAACCTCCGAAAATTTTTCTTCAGATGAGTAATATTTAATCTTATTTTCTGAACGTTTTTAGCGATGAATAATCTATATTAACTCCGTTATTCTGCTTAAGGAAACGTTTACCAAAAAATGTACATCTTTATTTATTCCTTCCTTTACGGAAGAAATTTAAATGAATTTGATTTTCCAAAGATTTTTTTTTAAATGGTCATTTTAAAGAATAAATTATAAAATGTTGCCAAAATTGTTCGGCTGAGATTCCTTATATGTGCATTTATGAAGGTGTTGGGGTGGCGGGGAGACAAGAAAGAAAGAAAGAAAGAAAGAAAGAAAGAAAGAAAGAAAGAAAGAAAGAAAGCGTACAGGTAGCAAATTTTCAAAATTTCTCAATGCTTTCGTCAATTACAGGTAGACGGTAATTTGCCTGGAGATTCTTTCCCTCGACTCAAAGGTACTTGTCGTAATCATCTTCTGACTTCATGATGAATACTTTCTGAAAGTTTTTTTTTTTTTTTAACAGAGTATAAGCCGATTGAAAGAAAGAAAGAAAGAAAGAAAGAAAGAAAGAAAGAAAGAAAGAAAGAAAGAAAGAAAGAATATGGCACATGGTCACAATAGGAAGAATCAAAATTGGTAGATAAGCGAATGGTCTGAAAACAAGCTTGTTAACCATTGCTCTTTGTCAAGCACGCAAATTTCAGTCAATGAAAAAGAAAATTTATGCAACTAATTTTTCTTGGTTGTTTTATTGTCGATGAAATCAGCGAATTGCTTTCTGGTGTGAATAAGGTGATATTTACGAGGTAAAAATCCCAAGAAATGTTTTAAATGTTTGTATATCCCTTAAAAAAACAAAGCATTACCTACTCTGATTTAAAAATCAAAACATATTTCCCCTTTAAATTGTTATATCCGATATTAAAGCCAAAATAAAAATTCAGGATTTTTAAAAATTCATATGCTTTTTTGTCATTAAATAAAAACTAAATTATTTCTGTCTTTTTGTGAATGGGTGGCATTTTTGTTGTAGATGCGTTTTCAAATCACGTCAGAAGGTTATCAGTTGTGTGTCCTGGCTTTTTTTTAGCGTGATTGAATAATTTGTAAATACATGCACATTAGGAATGAGATACAAGATTTGTCGTGAAATGACATCAATATTCAAAAAATTGAAATACAAAAAAAAGACATTGAAAGAACACAAGAATGGATGAAGTTCTTTGTGAAAGAGTTAAAGTTCGTAAAAGAGAAAAAAAAAGACAAAGAAAAGTCTTTTTAAGCGCTTAATTCTAATCAGTTAAGTAGCGAAAGGAGGCAGTAAAATTTCCTATCGGTGTCCGCAGATGTTGAGCTGTGTGGAATGGTATTTCTTGGATTGCCAGCAAGCAATCAACCAATTCTTTCAAGACGAGAGTGGCTAATATATTTAGCTAACCCTCCACGAGGGTTGCATATGGCACAAGGCCGGTTTAACGTGGGTTCTCCAAGCCCGTAGGCTCAGCCAAAAATATTCCCTCCGTGAACCCGCATAAACAGGCTCAGGGTCAGTCTACATCCCCGAACGAGACTCTGCCCTTCGGCGGAGCCTCGTCCGGGTTCCTCTGTGCCCGAAGGCTGAGAGTTCGACTGTTTAGAGCTGGAACAGGTCGCAACTAGTCTAAGGTGGCTAATGATTTTAAGTTACTGACTTCAGCTTTTATTTTCTGTTCTCGGTGGCTCAAGATTAAGGGTCCTGAGAAATAAATTTTTGAGTAATCTGATTGGCCCATTATTCGTCTCTCTAATCAAGTCTGTTGTTTACACATACGTTCGTACATGGGAAAAATTCTTGTGACTGGCCATGTGTGTTAATCGACTCTTTGATGTTGTTTGTCGATATATTTTTAGCATTAAAAACCTCTAGTGACATTTTGGAGGTACGACATTTCGCAGGAGAAGTGGAAATTAATTCAACACAATGCTGCCCATCCAGCTAATCATTCTTCCTTTGAGTAATTTAATTAACATAAAGTTTGACAAGTTTTCATTGGTAGCCATTACAATTTTTTTTTATTTCTGCACGTTTATTTCTGATGCATTTCTAATAATCTTAATTTCACTTATTACCATCAAATACTGAACTGTTTTCATTCAGATGAATTTGAGAAAAAGACAAAGAAAGGCTTAGCTAAAGTCGTATTTTAATGGTAGCAATGGTCAGTAGCAAAATTACCGGGGCAGTTTCGAATTAAAATTTAAAAAAATGTTTCTCCCTTCTATATGTCAGTATTTATTTTAAAGATTATCCTTATCAAAATTTCTAGCTTTCGAATTATCTTTTCATTCATTCACATATGTGCTTTTAATTTAGTTTGATCCGTTGATCTTCCTGTAAAAACTGAGTTGAGACCTGACAATAATAAATAATTTAATAGTTGAGGTCAATTTGAAAATATGGAGTCAACAAATCATTATTTTTTAATTTTATTTAAGCACTGAGCTGAGTCATCAAATGCTATGCTGTAATATTCTCCTGAAACTACCAAGTAATTCTTCCTAGAAGGAATTCAAAATTATATCACAACCGATCTTGTACTAAGACATTACCTGTCCAGTCGATATTTCTTAAAAAAAAAAAAAAAAAGTGATATTAATTGGAATTAAATATTTTATTTTTAACAATGTAAAAAAAAAACAATTGACAAGTAACTGTACCTTCATACAAATATCGCTCATGGGCTTGCAATTGCGAAACAAAAGCAGAAAACAAAATTTAACTAAAACAGATTTTTACTATACACTATTACAATTTACAAACATCATTTGGACTGTTGTTCACGTATTGATTGCCATATTCACGACGTTTCGGTTGTTGTACGCTCCGAACTTCTTTAGGTGATATATGTTGGCATTTCGGTTCGAAATGCCAAATCAGCTGAAGAGGTCGGAGCGTATAGCGACCGAAACGTTGTGAATATGGTAATAAAGATCGAAATTCCAACATATATATATCACCTGAAGAGGTCGGAGCGTACAACGACCAAAACGTCGTGAATATGGCACTAAAGATGAGGACAACGGCCCGAACGATGTAGTGTAAAAACAGTTACAATACCTAATCTCGGAAACACAGACAAAAACAGTGATGGTAGGAGATTTTCTGTGGGGAAAAGAACCAAGAAGAATTTTACCACAAATTTAAGTTGTGCTTAAATTCTTTCCAAGAGTGATAGAAATTAATGTTTTTCTGATAACCTATCAACAAAAATGCTGAAAAAAGATTTAAACACAACAAAAATGTAGAATAAAAAAAGTTGAAAACAGGATAAAGATGAAAAAATAAAAAGTTAAAAAAAAAGAAAAACTACGAGTATGGAATTAAAAAATTTAACAAAAAGTTAAAGAAATTTAGAAAGTAATTTAGAAAACAAATTACAAAGAAGTTTACAAAGAAATTTAAACATTTCTTTAGAAAGAAATTTAGAAAAAAAGAGAGAAAGAAAATTAGAAAGAAAGAAAGAATTAAAGAAAGAATTAAAGAAAGAAAGAGGGTTTGTAAAATTTTAATTGGTCAGGAGTGCGTTGGGCGGAAGTGACGACATATCTTGTTGCTTTCCCTCCTCCTCCTCCTCTTCCCCCACGCCCTCCACTGTGTGTCAAGACAGATTTGATGGCCAGAACGAGGCTTATTTTGTGTTGAAAGATTTTGTTGCTTGCCGTTTGCCTTGCTCATCCGACAGAACAATAACAATTGACGACGGCGACAAGTAAGAAAAGAAAAGGCGGCCAACTTCTCTCTTTCCAATGCTTCCTCTTTTCATTCCGACCTGACTGAAGACACACGCATTATTCACTCACTTATTACCCACTGCTTGACGGGGAAACGGCTTCAGTGTCTACGCCGAAAATATTTCCTTATTCTTTTTTTCCCCTCTCCACACGCATCGATATCCGACGACACAAACTCTTCTTTCTCGGTTTGGAGTCATCCGGAAAAAAAGAAGCATGTTTTGATCTGTTTTTATTATTATTTATTTATTCTCCTTCATTTACTTCAAGAAAAAACAAAACAAACAAAACCTCGTTGCAGGCAGATTCTGTTATATTTTCATCATCAAATTCTAAAATTCAACAAATTCTTTCTTTCTTTATTTCACCACCACAATAATTAACGATTTAAAAATACATAGTGTTTTTTCTTTCACTCTTATTGCACAGTCGATTCTATTTTCCTGGAAATCAAGCGAATATTTTTGTAAATTAAATACTCCAAATATTTACCTGTTTAAATCATCAACTTGCTTGGAAAGAGACCAACACACAACATTGAAATGACAGTTGAACGGCAATATAGTAAAGAAAGAATAATTTAATTTCATTCATAATAAAACTGCTACAGAGCTGTGATTATTGCTTGGACACAAGATTCTAATAAAATTTTTAAAATCCATTGCTTTTTAGTATAATTCCGGCTTTTTTCTCTTTTTTTTTTTTTTTTTTAGATGTACATAAAACCTCATTCATTGTTTGTGTATTATTCGTAATTTCCCAGGTTGACAACGGGTAATTAAAGGGCAAAAAAAACTTCTTAATCACGTTGTTATTTTCATGTGGATACCTTAAGAAAAAAGATCGCCACAATTGTTGGATGCTTGTGCACGTGGTGAAAAGACAAAAACAATAATAATTTATTTTATATCTAAAAAGTTAAGACGATGTTATTAAATGCTGTCTGGTGGTTATTGTGTTCGGCCTTTTTAGGCTGTACATTGTTGCCTAATGCTTGGTCCAGATCCGAAGGGAATACTGGTTTTTATGCCGACAATGAACTTGAACAATCCGTGATGGTCAGTCCTTTGACACGCCGACAGAAAAAAGAGATTGAACAAGAAATCCTGACGCTACTCAATCTTCATCATAAACCTAAACCGAGGGCCATGGGCAAAGAAACATCTGCTCCTCGTTTCATGTTGGATCTTTATAATAAACTTCATGGCTCTGGGGCCAGTGGTTCGTCTATGGACGGACACGACCCTTATCCTAATTTCCATAGTGATACTTTAGAAACACAAATGCCACAACTGAATTCCTCGGATGTTATTATGAGTTTTGTCAATCATGGTAAGTAATTTCTACTGATTTTTTTTTCTGAATCGTCGTATTAGTTTTGTTGTCTAAAGTTAGTTCTAGGATCCTTTATTGATTCCCTTCAAAAGATGAAAATAAATCACACCCCTTTTCCTGTTCAGTTTTTTCCCCGACTACTGCAAATAAATTATTTTCTTGCTTTTTTAGGGGAAGATACCCAACTATTGCTTCTTGTTGTACTTCTTGTTCTTCTACACATGTTGTAGTTTTAGTTTAAAGAAACATAAACTAACTAAAAACACAAGAAAAAGTGAAGTCTTGATGAGGCTGTTAGTATTTTTTTTTTTAATATTTTTATCACAAAAAGTTATATAATTTTAAAATTTGACATATCCTAGGCACTTCATTGGTAGATTTTATCATTTTTGGCTTTTTAGAACTAATTAAAACTTTGCGATTAAAAAGGACTTTATTTTTATTTTAATTTGACTAGTCACTAGGAATTTGAACACCTTTAATGTTTAAAATATCAAATTGAAGTTTTTATTTAAATTTGATTATACCACTCTTAAATAACAAAGCAAGCAAACGATTCAAATATAAATAATGCTTTTTATTTTATTTGTCCTTTTTAGATTCAAATGATTTGGGTTATAAAAAAATGAGTGTCACTTTTTTTTTTTTTGTAAGGGTTTCTGCCTTCTCTTTAATAAAAATACAAAACTGGTGAAATAAATGTTGGAACTTTCTGCCTTTATTTATATTTTCTCAGTTTCTTATTCCGTCATTTCATTTGTTTGCAATAAAAAAAAAAATTCATCAATTTTTTTTTTTTTTTTTTTCGGCAATTATGAAAGATTTTCTTTTAGCTTCTAAAATCCAGACGAATCGCTTTTTTAATTCATATTTACATTTTGTAATTACTTTTTCCGAAATGTTGGATTTTCGTTTTACGTCTAATTGATTGTTTTTGTTTTATGCTAATCATATTTAATTTAAGCTTCAGCTTAACCACTCAAGCTTATACAACAGTCGTCCCATAAAGTTACCTTGTTCTTTGTTGTTAAAATAATGAAAATGCATTTAATTTTTTATCAGAATGTCCCATTTTGGGGGAAAATCTTACGACAGATGAAAATAAAAACAAAGGGAAGATATTGTAAAAGTTTTCGTTTTACAAGTAAAAATAGTCTATTTCTTTATAAAGCTCCAAACCAAACACCAAAAAATGAACAAATTATTTTTTGACTCGCTTTTTAGGTGCAAAAAAGCACTGTTTTGATTTTCTCTACTAATAATAAATCGATTAGATATCGATCGTTAAAGTTTTTTGGGTTTTTTCCCGCTCAGAAAATTATTTGTTATCTGAGATGACAAGATAAAAATCGCCACATTCGAAAAAAATAAAATCTTTTTTTAGTTTTATTATCGAAGAAGAAAAAATAAAAGTAAAAAAAAAAAATTATTTTAAAAATAAAATTAAATGTTGAAGAACGGAACAAATTCAATGTGGCTTGAACACTTTTCAAAGAAAATTGCAAATTTTCTTCATTGAATTTGCACAGCAAAGAAAAAGAATAATAAAGAAAGCGCAAATAATTTAATATTTCCTTAAAAATAAATGAACGGGACCACTTAAAAAATCTTCTTAAAAGTTGATTCATTCTTTTCATAAATTTTTTGTTATATTTTTTATTTAATTAAAATAAAAAAAATAAGAACAAATCTCATTTTAAATGGCCTGGTTATCAACACCAGTTCTTAAAAAAATTAATTAATTAAAAAAGTCATTTCCCCTTTTTTTATTTTATTTAAATCCTTTAAGAAAAAGTCATTAATAATGAGTTTTTGAATAAAATATGGAAATTAATTTTATTACAATTTCGCTAACTTCTTCATTTAAAAGATATGTCAGGTTTTTCTTCAATAAAAATTATTTATTATAAACACCTCAGCAGAAAAATTGTCAATGTTTTCAATTACTTTGTTTTGAGGAAATTAGGCATCATTCTTTTTTCTTGGCTTTTTTTTTTGTACCTGGAAAAATGAAAAGGATGCTGTCTGTTTAGCTCTTTCAAAAATAAGCTACTTATTAAAATTGTAACTACTCAACACACCAATGAAAATCTGAAAACTATTTTCCTTCTGTACTCAAAATAACTTCTTGGCTTAATTATTTGCTGTACTAATTTGTCTCGTAAATAAATATTATATAATTTGTTATCAAAACCAAATAAAATATTTTCCTTTCACCCAAAAAATCTTGTAAAATATTTATTCTCAACTTTAGAAACAAATGTGATTGCTTGAAATATTTTGTAAAGGAAAAATTACCAAAATGTTGATGTATTTTTTTGCCACAATTATCCACTTAAATAACATAAATCTACTGTTATAAAATGAAGGAATATTAAATTGTAGTAAAATAAATAGTTCTTAGAGTATCTCAAATAAAAAAAAAAAAAAAGGATAACTAAAAATACCTATATTCAAACATGTGAAATTACTGGACATAGTCATAATGAAAAATCCTTAATTAAGGATTGTATTATTTTGACAGTTTTTCCAACTTTATTTGAAAGAAACTCTCTTAGGTGAGTTTTAAAAATTCTTAACTATATTTTTAAGGTTGAGAGGGTGAAAATTTGACTTCCAATAATATTAAACTTGTTCACCAAGAAGAAAGAAAAAAACAAAAGAAAGCAGATGATAAAGTGCAGATCCAAAACTTTATAACCCAGAAACAGTTGATTTACAAAAATCTTTCTATTTTATTAATTTTTTTCCTCTCTCTTAAGTCCAGTTAAGACAGATTTTGTACAAAAGGAAAAAGATTTATTTTAAACCCAGGAAGATTTCTTAATGTATCCTCTTTCTAATTCTACTTGGACTGTTACTCTGGCTGGCTATTGATATTTACTTTTATTTATGCCTGACATGCAGATGTAGTATTAAGCACAAGAATATGCACAAATATTTGACAGAAAAAATGCTCAGCTCTACAGTGTGTAACTTGAAGAATATAAAATTTCAAATCACTTAATAACTGAACATGCTTAAAGCTGAAACTTTACAGGTTAACAATTTCATAAATGCTTTACATGTGTAATTTTTATCTTTCTCCATAAATTATAAGTTAATTAAATTTTAAGTTGGTATCCACTCAGTAAGGATATCACATCTTATTAATAATTTTAATAAAGATTTTTTATTTTATCTGATACTGATTAACAGAATGTTCTAATACAATGTCCACTATAAGTTGAGTCTGTTTAATTTGTTCATTTTTACCAAATCTTTATATAGATCTTTTAAGTTTTTCTTCACAAACTCTATTTAGGGAATATGTTCAGAAAGTTTTCTTGTTTATTTCTTATCTTCTCTATTCTATCTTTTGTGAAAAATCATGTCATGAATTTGTCTGTGATGAAATACTTTAGTTTTTCCCCGAAACCATTGTTTTATAAATGTTAATCTTTATTTAAACAACTAAACAATAATGGTATGTTTTTTTTTCTTTTGGATCTAAGTGAGAAGCTGATTCAATTATCAACTTCATAGGACTAATTTGGATGGCTGTTTCTTGGTAATCATTTCATTAGTAATTTTTTTCCTCCTAAACATTCTATGATCTTTTCACATTTGCTTAACAGTGAATCTACTTTATTTATAGGGAAAATAAAATTCAAAGTAACAATAAAATACACAGTTCAGAATTGAGATTTACAAGGAACTGGACAATATTGAAAAACTAAATATTTCAAAATACAATTGATATAGAATTAATTTTGACTTTAAAATCATCAAAGTTCCAGAAATATTTTGGTGGGGTGGGGATTTATTAAACATTTGCCAACTTTTAAAATTGCTTTAACTTTTTTTCCTAAAAGCTAAATTTTTAAATTTGTCATTTTATTATGAATAATACTAATTCCTTAAAAAGAGATTTTTCTTCATTCACATTTGAAATAAGTACTGTTGCTTATTTCTGAAAGAATGTTGGCAAAATGCAGAAATGTCTGAAATTTTCAATTCCTATTTAAATTTTTATTTGTTTGGTTGCCTTTAACATGTTTCTTTGAGAAATTTAAATAGAAATTACAAGACCTTGCTAGAAAAGAAACACATTTATTGCTTAATTAATCGTCTGTTAAATCATCTCTCTGGCATTTTTGTCACTAACATCTGACTTATTGACTTCTATTTTAAATATAAAGACCTATGTAGCTAAGAACTTTAATAAATCAAAATTTTTTTTTAAGTCATAAAGTCTTAAATAGCTACTCATCATTTTTCATAATAGCCAAATTTAGAAATCAAAAATATTCTCCATTAATCAGTAATTTTATTTTTTTTTTTTCTTATATTTCCAAGGGTGTTAACCTCCCTGACAGTCGGTCTGTTTGTGTTACAGAAAGAAAAATAGTCAGCATGGTGACAAATTTTGAGTATAACTAATTCTTAAAAGAAAAAGCCTTTGGAACTGAATCTATTTTTTAAATTTTTCAGTTGTTCTTCCTGAAATCTAACTAAATGACCAAACATGAGAATTTTGTTTTTCCTATTCTTGATCAGGTCCCAAAATTTCGGTACTCCTTCATAAATGTCTGCTACTTTACATTGTCCTTTATATCCTATTACCTTATATCAGTCATTACTTAATATCAACTTAAAAATATAAAATCTTTTGAAATTACCTGGTTAATATTTTTTAACCTATTCATTGGTTTCAATCTTAAACTTTTCTTTTTCTGTGTCTTCTTGCATTGTCTGACTCAGTCTTGCTAGTTCTGTCACTTTGATAACATTCAACTATTAGTCAAAGCTGCCTTGGTCAGGGGTAGATAGGTTGATCTGTCAGACAGCATTTTATCGTTTTTATCATTGTAGATTAGTTGACTTACTTGCTTGAGATTATTAGGAAAAAAAGAAAAGGGTGAAGTATGCCTGGTTGGGAAGAGGCTGTATCTTAGCATGGGGGCCCTCCTGTTTTAACCTCTCTGATAATAAAGACTATGCTTTAAGCAAGCTTA